ATCACCGGCAAAATATCACAAGGGGCAGTTGAAATTGGGAAAGAGATTAGGTTCCTTTTTTAAAGAAAACAGGGAAGTGATTGCCTATCTGTTGAGAACCTATCTACCAAAAACTGATGAAATCCCCTTTTTCTCTTTTCCATTTTTAAAGGAAGATCTTTTTAAAGGATTTGCCGCCCATTATTAAAAGAATTACCCTACTCCAGAAGACATTTCTTATAAATATAAGAAGGAGTGAACAGGGCAGGGACAATCAATCTTACAACAAAAATTTCATCACTCAACCAAACAAAGGTCCTACACAGGTAAACCGTCACATAAACAAGCTCAGAGTCGACCAACAAGTCCACTTGAATTTCAAGTGAAAACCAATTCCAGATCAGAATGCCCAGAATCCAGACTTAGGAAGCAAGTCATTCAAAACGAGATTTCTCTCGTTACAAATTTGGTTCAGCAAAAACCAACACAAGCAGAGTTTGAGCCTCCTCCAAGTATGGAAAACCCCAGCCAAATTCACGGAATAGCCTCTAGCTCACCAACGTCCTCAAGAACAGCCACTTCTGCCCTTTCAGACTGAAGAAACCGCAGTTCTGCCTACTCAGAAGCTTCGCAAAAGCTTGAGGTACATTAAAGCTCTGCCAGAATCAACCTTTGGCATCGATTTGTAGTTGAAAATCGGGCAATCAGAGTTGTCTACGATCCAGTCCAGCCCAGACATTCCCAGTCCAGCCCATCACAGAGCCTCCCATCCAGGCAGAAATGGAGATCTAGCTATCTTTTTATCTTTTTGCATCGACATGTATTTTTGTAGTCTTGTAAAAGGCACTTCCGCCCAAAAACAGCTTAAATTTCATCAACTATTCTGGCCAGAACAACCTCTTTATACTGAGATAAATTGTTAAAGTCCTCACCAGTCTGAGGCAAGAAAAGAACTTACTTGGGAGATATTCCTCACCCAAATTCACAATCGTTGTTTAGGAAATCAGTAACTTGGGGCGCAAGTTATCCATTCCAGACTAAGTCTGCTAGACTGTTCATTACTAGCAGTGGCACGCTCGCACACCAAAGAAAGCTGACTTGTTGACCAGTCTATGGTTCTCAAGGCAGTGGGGAACTTTGCCCTTCCATCATAGGAGTAAACACAAAACGGGTGAACAATTTGGCACGCCCGGTGGGACTTCTCAGTATACATATTCTCATTGAGTTCTTCACCAGTTCATGAATACCGGAAGCTCTAGCCAGAACCCACACCACGGCATGGAAATAAACCAAGTGGCCCTCAGGGAAGGACTGGAATCAGAAGAAAGTGATGCCCGACATTCAGCACATGGCAGCACAGGGAGTAGGAGGTCCAGGACCGGTTCCAGAAGGATGAACCTGATACAGGAATCTGTGTTACGACAAGAGGTCACAACACAAAGAAGCCAGGATACTCTAAACAATATGACAGCCATGATGCAATGGCAGGTCAACAGGCAATTCAGGAAGGATCGAGAGGCTGCCATGGCCAGAATTCCCAATCCCGATGAGGTGGTCCAGCAACTAGACCTTCCCTATGGTCCCCCACCAGGGTTGGCGTGGCCATATCAAGAGAATCCTCTTGTTGCACAGATAGCTGGGATCCCGGAACGGGGAGGAATCCAGGCTGGACACAGGGAAGTGGCTTTCCCTATCCAAGAACGTCTGGCCCCAATACGGCCAGAAGGTCCTGCGCCAGGACAAGTTCCACAGAATCAGCAAGAGCCTCAGCCTGCTCCGCAACAAGCGGTCCCCACAAGATCACCCTATGGAAATTCTGCCTGAACAGCCAGCAGTGGTACCCTACAGGCCCAGAAGGATGGACCCCAATCCATTTCCTCCACCTGCAAGAGGAAGGAGAGGAAGAGGGGGAAATTACCCTTATGTTAATAACGACAGGAACAACAATAGGGCAAACTGGAGGAACCACCCAGGCCTGGAGGAACCGGAGGAGCACAGGGAAGAGGTTCTGCCTAGACCATATAGGGCAGAACCACGTTTCGATCATGCCCAGCCAGAACAGGGACAAAACCTTCCCCCCGTTAATGCTCTAAATGACGTGGGGGCATTACAGAGGATGATCAGGGAAATGATGGAGCCTGAGGCCAGGAGGGGGGAAAGGCCCACCTATAGGAAGCCATATCCACCTTACATTGACCAGATACCCTTGTCCCCAGGCTTTAAAGTACCAAACTTCACTTTATTCAACGGAGAGGATCCCCATGCTTCATCAGTTGAGCACGTAGGCAGATTTTCTACCCAATGCATAGCCATAGAGAATAACCCACTGCTAAAGCTAAGGCTTTTTGGGAATTCTCTCTCTGGACAAGCTTTCACTTGGTACACTACTCTGCCAGCAAATTCCATTCAGACATGGGAGCAAATGGAGAGCGTCTTCCATGACTACTATTACAGGATTCAGCCAGAAGTCACCATCAGTGACCTTGCAGCTCTCAAACAGAGTGAAGATGAACCTGCCCAAGACTTTATAAACAGGTTCAGGAAGCTCAAAATGAAGTGCCGAATCCCCATCGAAGAAAGACACTTCATTCAAATGGCTCAGGCTGCCCTCAAAATCTCTCTGAGGAAAAGATTTGATGGGATGCTGTTTGGAGATCTGGCAGAACTGGCAGATAAAGCGGCCAAGTACGAGGAATTGCTCAGAGAGGAACAGCAGAAGAGAAACTCTTCCAAAGGCACGTATTATAAATCCCCTTCCTCCTCAATACATATGATTGAAGTGGAGTCAGAAGAAGATGCGGAGGAATCAGAGGAGAGAGAGGTTGCAGTTGCGGAAATGGAAAAATTAAAGCACCCCATCAGTTGTAAAACTCTTACAAAACCTCCAAGGGATCAGAAGCCGCCACCATTCACAGGAGGGTTTGTTCCAAATAAACCCATGCAGAACAAAGTGTATTCCTTCGATCTGACCAAAGTAGATGCCTTGTTCGATGAGATGTTGCTACAGAAAGCAATAGAGACACCTCACAGGATGCCCAAGCCAGAAGAACTCAAGGGCAGACAGTATTGCAGATGGCACAATTCTTGGAATCATTCTACCAATAGTTGTGTTGTTTTCAGAGATGTCATACAGGAAGGAATAACAGCAGGAAGGCTGAAGCTAGCAGAGAAACCTCCATCTGTCACCACAGATCCTTTTCCCCAGCCACAAGTTAACATGGTCAACCTAAATTGGCCAGAACGGAAGAAGGACAGACCAGTCATGCAGGCTGGCTCCAGTGGAAGCAGAATAGTTTCAAAGGAGACTATGGAAAGACCAAAAGCAACCATTTCAGCTGGAATAGTGCTTTGCAGCAGGTGCAATTGTGAGGCTGAGTTGGAAGTAGTCCTGGAAAAACAGGAGCTGCCCATTCCAAGTGTTTTTGACCGGATCGGAACCACGCCCCATGATAGGACCAGACAGAGAAACTACCCTAGGCCTGTCCAATCCAACAGAAGGGTGACTAAGCAGCCCAAAGAGGAAATATCAATAAAAGTGCCCGGAAGTAACAAACCTTTGGCGGCCATCATTGAAGGCAGGTGGTACTCTATCGGGAAGAATGGCAGACCAACCATGGAGCTGACAAGAACCCAAAGGAGGAGGGTTCAGAGACAGTACTGCACATTCCTCAATAACGAGAAAAACGCACAGGTGCTTCCAAATGCCAATTCTGCCAGAAAAGGGAAAGAACCAGAATTATTTCCCCAGACAGAACAAGCAATCTCTCAACTACAGAAGTTGACAAAAGCAGAATCCTCAGAGAAACCTTCTGTCCATCCTGCCCCCGCCTCAGGAGGTCTACTTGAAACTCCCCAACTAGAGGAAAGAACCGATCCTATTTCAGGAAAAGGACAAGAAGACTGGGTTGAGGAAGATGAAGAGGAGCAGCTGGATTATGAGCCATCCACAGATGACCAGAATACCCTCCTCGGGACAGAAGAACTGGGAGAATGGACGGAGAAATATGATGGAGAACAGATGGAATATGACGGAGAATTGGATGCAGAAACTGAGGCCTTTGGTGCAGAACTGGAGGACTTGTTACGTGTTGACCTAGGCATCAATATGGTGTTCATTCTGCCAGAAAAGTTCTGGGCGGTAGAAGGACAGAAGAGCACTCTGGATGGAGACGTATTTTCCCAAGAAAGTTTTGAATGCAGGTTGGCAGAAACGGAAGAAATGCCAGAACAACAAACAGGCAATCCCAGGATAGAAGGAGCAACCCACAAGCTGACAACAGGTCCCCTTTGCTTCTCCAAACCAACCAAAGAAATGGCAAACCACCTCAGACCCTTGTTCATAACAGCAAACTTTGGGGGTGTTCCGATCCCCAAAACCATGGTAGATGGAGGTGCAGCCATCAACCTTCTGCCTCACAGAATGCTGAGCAAAATGGGCAGAACAGAGAAGGATCTAATCCCAACCCGCCTGACCGTCACCAACTTCGCAGGGGGCATCACCAAAACCCTTGGGATTCTGGATGTAGATGTCTTGGTAGGAAGCAAGAAGCTGAAGGTTGCATTCTTTGTGGTAGATACTACTTCCACCATTTACAATGCATTGCTTGGCAGAGATTGGATTCATCAGAGTCTGTGTGTTCCTTCCACTCTTCATCAACAGTTAGCTTTATGGAACGAAGATGGCTACATGGAGATAGTAGAGGCCGATCCACGGCCATTCCTACCTTCTGCCATGTGTTGTGAGGCAAGGTACTATCATGATGACCTTGGTCCTTTCACTTTCTTTGGAGTCAACCAGAACGGCCGCCCCCATGGTGTCACGGCCCAGAGACTCATTGAAGAAGGTCTAACCAATTCTTTGGAGGATTGGAACAGACCTTTTGTCCTAAATTTCCAAAGCACTGATGTTTAGTCCCAATCAACAAGAAAAGGATCGAGCTGCAACAATCCGGTCCATTACAAAAAGATTGTTGATATACTGGGAGGAAAGAAGGTTGTTTGCACAGAATCCAGCCATCAATATGGCAGAATTCACTCATGAAAGTACGGAAAGCCAGGAGGAAGAAGAACTACAGGAGGAAGTGCTAGATTTCGCACCAGCCGCATTGGATGACTCTCTGCCAGAAGTAGAAGATCCTTTGCAGGAAATAAATTTGGGAACAGAGGAGGATCCAAGGCCAACCTTCATCAGCGCACTATTGAAAGAACCACTTAAGAATGAACTCGTTGCACTTCTACAAGAGTTCAAAGACTGTTTTGCTTGGCATTATCACGAGATGCCAGGATTAGACAGGGAATTGGTAGAACACAAGCTACCAATCAAAGAGGGATACCTTCCAGTCAAACAGGCCAGAAGAAGAATGTCCATGGACACAGAACTGAAAGTCAAAGAAGAAATAGAAAGGCTGCTCAAAGCAGGATTCATCAGGCCTGCCATCTATGCTGATTGGCTAGCTAACATTGTACCAGTTCTAAAAAGGAAACTGGGGCAGTCAGAATCTGCGTGGATTACAGAAACCTGAATGAAGCCTCTCCCAAGGATGAATACCCTATGCCAATGGCAGACATGCTAGTAGATGGAGCTGCCCACAATCAGATCATGATGGCAGAAGAAGACATCCACAAGACAGCCTTCATGTGTCCAGGGCATATAGGTGCTTTTGAATATACTGTAATGCCTTTTGGCTTGAGAAATGCAGGGGCTACCTATCAAAGGGCAATGAATTCTGTTTTCCACGATATGATAGGGCATTCCTTGGAAGTGTATATTGATGATGTTGTGATCAAATCACCAGAGGAGGGAAACCACATGACAAATCTAAGAAGAGCATTCCTCAGAATGAGGCAACATAAACTAAAATGAACCCAAAGAAGTGCGTTTTTGGAGTTCAAGCGGGAAATTTCCTAGGATTTTGGTCCACCAAAGAGGCATAGAGATCGACAAGAACAAAGCAAAATCCATCATAGAAGCTTTACCGCCTAGGAACAAGAAAGAATTGCAAAGTCTCTTAGGAAAAATTAATTTTTTAAGGAGATTTATATCCAATTCTGCAGGAAAGATCCAGCCTTTCTCTTCTTTGTTAAGATTGAAACAGGAACAAACCTTTAAGTGGGAAGAACAACACCAGCAAGCTTTTGAGGAAATCAAGCATTACCTCTCAAATCCACCAGTTCTGTCCCCGCCAAAGAGAGGCAGGCCACTCAAGCTCTATATATCCGCATCAGAAGTATCCATTGGAAGTTTATTGGTTCAGGATAACAAGGAAGGAAAGGAACAGGCGGTTTACTACCTAAGCAGAACTCTGACAGAAGTGGAAAGGAAATATTCTGCAATTGAGAGACTTTGCCTAGCCTTGTACTTCACTGCTGTAAAGCTCAGACATTACATGCTGCCATACACCATCTATATCATTGCCAAAACAGATCTGATCAAATACATGCTGACAAGACCAATGCTGAGAGGCAGAATTGGAAAATGGACCTTGGCCTTGACAGAATTTGCCTTCAGATATGTTCCTCAGAAAGCCGTCAAAGGACAAGCTGTGGCAGACTTCCTAGCAGATCATCCCGGAGAGGAGATTGAAAATATGGACTCTTTAGACATAGCAAATGCAGATCTATTAACCAGAGCTCACACCTGCCTCAACAATCCTATCTACTCAGTTCATCTTACACCTTGGAAGTTATACTTTGATGGGTCAAAAACTGATATAACTTCCGGGGCAGGAATTGTTTTGGAAGAGCCACTTGGAATCAGACACTGCTACTCTTTCCAATTAGATTTCCAATGCACCAACAATAGGGCAGAATATGAAGCCTTAATCATTGGCTTGGAAATGCTGGTAGAATTAGGAATCCAGTCTGTGGAAATCCTGGGAGACTCCATGCTGGTTCTAAAACAAATTGCTGGGGAATACAAGTGCCTAAGCCCTTCTCTGGCTGTCTACTTGGTGGCAGCTAGGAATCTTCTGACAGAATTCAGAGAGGCCACTTGGGAACATATCCCAAGAGAAGAGAATTTTGCAGCCAATGAATTGGCCCAGGTGGCAACAGGCATACAAATACCCGAAGATTGTGTACAAAGAATCATCAAGATAGGAAAGAAAAGCCTACCATCGGTTCTGGCCAGGGGGATGGAGATAGATGTCAACTCTGCCACAATCACTGAAGGTGATTGGAGGAATCCTATCATGACCTATCTGCGATATCCAACTTTGCCCTCTGAGAAGAAAGTCAGAATCATGGCTTTAAACTACCTTATGTGGAATGAAGATTTGGTCCGAAAAGTAAGGATGAGGTGCTTTTAAGGTGCCTCGGGAAGAAAGAATACATGAAAGTTATGGGGGAAACCCATGAAGGAATCTGTGGAGCACATCAAGGTGGAAGGAAAATGTGCTGGTTAATTAGAAGATATGGCTACTTCTGGCCAACCATGATGAAAGATTGCATTAACTATTCCAAGGGGTGCGAATCTTGTCAAAGGCACGGTCCAGTCCAGCAGGCTCCATCAGTTCCCATGAATCCAGTGGTAAAACCATGGCCCTTTAGAGGATGGGCAATGGATCTCATTGGTAAGATCTATCCAGCCAGCAGCCAGCAGCACTGCTTTATCATTGTTGCCACAGACTACTTCACCAAGTGGGTGGAGGCCAAGGCTGTTAAATCCACTACATCTCAAGAGATCATCATTTTCATAGAAGAACAGATCATCCAAAGATTTGGCATCCCAGAATCAATCACAACTGATAGAGGGTCATCTTTCATATCTAGAGAAATGCTGGACATGGCAGAGGCATTCAAATTCAGACTGCTCCAATCCACTCCTTATTATGCCCAAGCCAATGGACAGGCGGAATCAAGCAACAAAGTAATCATCAACATTATCAGGAAAATGCTTGAAAAGAATCCAAAACAGTGGCATGAGAAGCTGTCAGAAACTCTGTGGGCATATAGAACTTCAAAGAGAGAAGCGACTGGCATGACTCCCTACGCGTTAACCTACGGTCATGATGCAATTCTGCCTATGGAGATAGCTGTTCAGTCCCTCAGAATTGCTCACCAACATGACTTAGTAGGAGAAGATTACTCCCAGGCCATGCTGCTGGAACTGGAAGGATTGGATGCAGCCAGAATTGACACTCTCAACAAACTCCTGGCAGGAAAACAGGCTGTATCAAGGGCCTACAACAAAAGAGTCAGGAACAAGAGTTTTGAAGAAGGGGAGATAGTCTGGAAAGCAGTTCTGCCCCTTGGAACACATGTGGCTGGTTATGGAAAATGGTCACCTACATGGGAAGGTCCTTTCATAATCAGCCAAATCCTTGGAATGGGGGCATACAGGTTGCAGGATAGGGATGGAGAAGTTCATACGGCCCCGATCAATGGCAAATGGTTAAAAAAGTTTTATCCAACCATGTGGGATTCACAGGCTGTACAAACAGACCCGGGGATAGACACAGGAGTTAACTAAAATCTTTTGAAAGTTACCCTTGTTTTTACCTTAAGTCTATCCCTTTGTTGTATTCCTACTTCTGTTTTCCATTCGATCCATCAATAGAAATAAAATGAATTTTATTTAAAAATAAATAAACCATGGGGCCTTCCCCACGGCAAGCTGTTCAGAAAAGCGAAAAATAACGAAATTAAAATCCTAGTTTTCTAAGAGTCTCCTGCAGGTTAGTCTTCTTGGTAGAAAGTTCCTTTTGGAGCAGCACACCCTGATGAATTGAAGCTTCTGCAATCTCCAGGGCAGGCCTAGAAGCTGCAACCATGTTCTGCACAAGGAAAGTGGCCTTGGTCTTAGAACTCAATCCAGCCCCGAGCCTGTGCTGCACTTCCCGACGCTCTGCCAGCTGCTTTTGAAGTTCTGCAATCTCTTTTTCCAATTTATCCCCAGCAGCTTTGGCTTCTTTATACCCCGCAACCATCTGGTCCAGTTCTGCCTTCTGCTTTGCAAAATCAGCCAAGTTGGCTTCATGAGTGGCCTTGCAGAACTCAGAGGTTTTGAAGGTAGGCTTCAGGTCTTCATAACGATCGTGAAGGTTGAGCACGTCCCTTGCCAAGACAAGACTCATCTCAAGAATGGGTCTTGGGGCCATGTTCTGTCTATGCAGCAGTCCAAATCCTTCATCAACTGATCAAAGGCCTCTCTGTCCTCATCCAGCTCCAATTCAGCAGACTGCCAGATCTTCAGTCTCTCCATTGCTTCTTCCACTGCCCTGGACTTTGTCTTACCAACAGGAGAGCTGAGCTTTTCCAACTTATCCAGCTGGGCATCTAGGTCCATGGCTTCAAATTCTGCCAGCTCCGGGTCAGCAAAAGAAGCCGTGGCAGATGAACCTGCAAGAGAATGAATAGGCATCTGCAGAAGGAAGCATAAGGTCAAGAACAGGGCAGAGACAAGAAGAAGAAGATAGAACTGCAAAAAACACTCACTGCAACAATCGGAGGCTGCAAGGGGGTGGTCCTCACCGCCAAGGTCCCAGCAGTTCTTTGTGCTTCCACCTGTAAAGATTCGAGGGTCAGAAGGGACCAAGGGACAGAACAAAATGGGAAACGACAGAATAAGGACAGAACTCACCATAAACCCAGGAACGGCAGCAGCCACTCCTGCTACGATTTCAGGAGCAGGAACCACTTGTTCTGCCTGATCCCCAGGCTCCGATCCGGATTGTTCCACTTGGTCCTCAGCTGTTGGAGCGGCAGTAGAATGTTCTGCCTCTGGATCATCAAAAAGGGCCACCTCTGAGTTGGTCAGCCCTGCCCCTATATCTTCCTGCTGCTTCCGAGCCAAGGCAATGCTCTCCGCTATCACCTCAGCAGGAATTTCCTCCTACAGAATGCACGGAAGTCAGAACAGAATAAATCAAGGTGCAGCAGGAACAAATACTCCCAGATATAAATACAGACTCACCTCCTCCTCCACTGACTTGGCCTTCTCCTGGGGCTCCTCTCCTACCTTTTCCAGCTCTTCCAGCTCCCTTTCTTGCTCCACAGCTTCGAAAGCCTCTCTCAGATCATCATCCGTGCCAGAGGTGGTGGTAGGAACTGCCCCAGTTCCCTCCGGGGCCACGTATTCTTCTGCAATCTTCTTTCTAAGTCTTTTTGACTTAGTAAGAGGAGGAGAGGGACCTCCAACTGCAAACAAACAGAATAAGTCTTAAAGATTAAGACAGAACAGGATTATGAAGAATTCAAAAAGAGAAATCATCAAAGAATACCTGGAGCCACAGACTGGGCAGTTTCTTTTCTTTTTCTTTTGACAGGAGAAGTGGCCTCAACAGGAGTCTGTTCTGCCTGATCTCCCTCCTCTTCTTCTTCTTCTTCCTCCTCTCCATCCCCGGAGGGCAACTCCAGATCTCCAGCAGCAATGACAGAATTGACTATGCAGAAGACAAAAGTCAAAGGTCAATCCAGTAGAGAGTAGCCAAAGACTGGACAAAAAACACAACTTACCAAACACCTCTCCGCTTTGGGCTGGTTGGCTGCCTATATTCTTTGTCAGAGAAGGATCTGAGTACAGATAGAAAGGATTAGCATCATCACTAAAACACAGAATAGGCAACAACAGACAGAATAGAGAGATTACCTTCTATAATTTGCATGTTGATGTCTTTGATGGTCTGCACCATGAATCTGTGAGTCTCGTCGTCTGAATGGACATTCCAATTGTCCCAGCCCTTAAAAAGGACTTGAAGTGCGGTGCTAGAAGCAGGCAGATCACGGAATCTGGCTTTCCACCAAGCATCAAACTCCACAGAACTGCAGGAGTTCAATTCCCAGGAAGGATAAAGGGCATCTGCACTGTTGTTAATCTTGTTCACGGCACACCTGGCGTCTTTGTGGACCTCCAAGTCATCTGCATCCCTCCAAGAAGAACCCCGATTGCAGCTTCTGTATGACTTGAGGGGTATGAGCTGAGGACAGCCAAGCTGCCTTGCACAGAAGTTGGGATGGTAGACTTCCGCCCCCAAATGATAATTTGGAGGCTTTCCCCCTCCATGAGGCAGATCCCTGGGTAAGGTCACACTCAGGAACTTCTTCCTGAAATCAGTTCTGGCGGATTCTTCTTCTGGCTCTTTCTCAAACAGACGATGTCCAGGCTGAAACCAAGGATAGGTCCTCCTAATCACCATCTGCCACTGTGCTGCAGACCTCTTGGTACAATGCCTGAACATCATCAGGTATTCACCAATTGACCGCTTGGGGACTTCTGCTGACAGCAACGGTTGAGCCAGAACCTGGTTCTCAGGCAGAACTATGTCTGGATACCTTAACTCAGGAAAATAGACCTGCAGCCAGATCTGAATCATCCAGAAGGCACCAGGAGCAGACAGATTCAGCGGATACTCCAGAGTAGCGGTATGCAGGTTCTTGAATAGATGGGCCAGAACTGTAGGTCCAAGGCCAACATCAGTGTGATTATGCAGAGCTTCTGCCAGATGTCTGTACTCAAGCAGAACTGCAGAAGAACGATTGGGCAGAATAAACCTGTTCAGCCAATACAGGAGAAACAACATGTGTTGCTGATCTTTGTCCTTCTCAGCACTAAATTTTCTGAGATAGTTGGAGAAGGAGCAATTCTGGTTGATCAAGGCTGGGGAAATAGTGAATGGCTTGGCTAGCTTCTGCTGGTCCTTTTTCCTGTGATAATCACCAATGGCATCAACAGGTCTTCCGTGAGGCCTAAAACCAAAAATCTGGGCCATATCCAGCAGAGTGGGAGCCATGGGGCCTATACGGAAATCAAAAGTGTTACTGGCAGAGTTCCAGAAGCACAAAGCAGCAGCAAGCAGATTCTCATCCCTGTTAATAGATTGCCTGGATAGGAGAATGGCGTCATAGATTCCAGCCCGCTTCCAGTGAGCCCCAAATCGAGGAAGAAGTCTGTCAATCCAATCAGCCCACTTGATTGGACTATTTCTCACTTCACTGGATGGGAACGAACGACTCAAATTCTTGCTGACCCAAGAATGAAAAGCCAGGGCAGAAGAGCTCTCGAAACATAGCGGGGCCTCAGCATCCTTCTTCATCAACTCCGCCATCTCGGGAGGAACGGGGCCAAACCAGTGAGGCCCCAGCACCAAGGTGTTTTCAAATAAATGGAGGACATTTTCATCCAAGTTTTTCTGGGCAAAAGGGTGGAGCTTGCTCCTAACCTCTATCGCATGACTATCGATTCCAGCCCCAGTAACATAGTCTGGAAGAACTGGAACAGAGGAAGATTGAGCACGAGATTTCGGGGAAGACATTTCTCGGAATTATTCCTTTTTGGCAGAAAGAAAGTATTAGGAAGCTCAGAGGAAACGAAGTTTTGAAAATACTAGGTTTTCAGGTGAACAGGAACAGTGGTTTTTGAAAGACTTTTAAAGAAGCCAGAAAACGTGGGAAAGAGATGACAGCGACGTGGAGAAGACAAAGCGTCAATCTGATAGTGACTAAGCTAATAAAGGGCTAGTAACTGAAGAACTGCGCCACACGAGCACTAGCTTAGTGGGGAAGCGTGGCAGACGTGGGATAAATGAAGGAATTTACCACGCGCCAATTTAATGGCCATGTCATTTAAGTCTGGAAACCGTTTCAAAACGATTCAGACTTAAGGGGGCATTGTTTGGGCCACAAATTGGCATGCCCAGCCCAGCAAAAATTAGGCCCAGAATGAAGCTGCAAAAAATCAAAGAGAGATGGAAGCCCAAAAGCCAGAGGAGACCAGCCCAAGACTCATCAAAGTAAACAAGGCTAATCTGGGCCTCACAGGCCCAATATAAAGGGGAAGCCCAGAAATAGGGACAATCCCACGTGATATCTCTGAAAAAAGAAAAAGTCAGCAATGGCAACTGTCATAGAAGAAGTGATTGAAGGGTTCATAGCATCAAGATCGATTCTGGAAAAAACTGAAGATCAAATCCCTCTTACACATATATATATATTCAGAGATTTTTTTCTGTCTTTTCAGAGGAGGTAAATCTCCCAAGGAGATAAGCAAGTTACAATCTCAGAGAGGGATAAGCAGGAAAGCAGGAAGCTGTCCAGAAAAGAATCAAAACTAACCATCACCGGCAAAATATCACAAGGGGCAATTGAAATTGGGAAAGAGATTAGGTTCCTTTTTTAAAGAAAACAAGGAAGTGATTGCCTATCTGTTGAGAACCTAACTACCAAAAACTGATGAAATCCCCTTTTTCTCTTTTCCATTTTTAAAGGAAGATCTTTTTAAAGGATTTGCCGCCCATTATTAAAAGAATTACCCTACTCCAGAAGACATTTCTTATAAATATGAGAAGGAGTGAACAGGGCAGGGACAATCAATCTTACAACAAAATTTCATCACTCAACCAAACAAAGGCCCTACACAGTTAAACCGTCACATAAACAAGCTCAGAGTCGACCAACAAGTCCACTTGAATTTCAAGTGAAAAACCAGTCCCAGATCAGAATGCCCAGAATCCAGACTTAGGAAGCAAGTCATTCAAAACGAGATTTCTCTCGTTACAAATTTGGTTCAGCAAAAACCAACACAAGCAGAGTTTGAGCCTCCTCCAAGTATGGAAAACCCCAGCCAAATTCACGGAATAGCCTCTAGCTCACCAACGTCCTCAAGAACAGCCACTTCTGCCCTTTCAGACTGAAGAAACCGCAGTTCTGCCTACTCAGAAGCTTCGCAAAAGCTTGAGGTACATTAAAGCTTTGCCAGAATCAACCTTTGGCATCGATTTGTAGTTGAAAATCGGGCAATCAGAGTTGTCTACGATCCAGTCCAGCCCAGACATTCCCAGTCCAGCCCATCACAGAGCCTCCCATCCAGGCAGAAATGGAGATCTAGCTATCTTTTTATCTTTTTGCATCGACATGTATTTTTGTAGTCTTGTAAAAGGCACTTCCGCCCAAAAACAGCTTAAATTTCATCAACTATTCTGGCCAGAACAACCTCTTTATACTGAGATAAATTGTTAAAGTCCTCACCAGTCTGAGGCAAGAAAAGAACTTACTTGGGAGATATTCCTCACCCAAATTCACAATCGTTGTTTAGGAAATCAGTAACTTGGGGCGCAAGTTATCCATTCCAGACTAAGTCTGCTAGACTGTTCATTACTAGCAGTGGCACGCTCGCACACCAAAGAAAGCTGACTTGTTGACCAGTCTATGGTTCTCAAGGCAGTGGGGAACTTTGCCCTTCCATCATAGGAGTAAACACAAAACGGGTGAACAGAGATAACATTCCAGATTGAGAGCTGACTTGTCTAGGGTCCACGAGGCCAACAAGGTTTACCATATTTGCCATTTTTAAATAGTCAAATAAGTACCTAATTAAATATATGAAATTCAATTAATGAGATTTTAATTTAAAAGAAAGGAAATGTAAAAAAAAACAAAATTGGATTTCTAGAATTACCTCATGTATACTACAATCACTGTGGATCCAATCTCAACCATGGAAGAAAACTGTAAAATGTCTTCACTCAAGAGTCAGGTATCATGATCAGTGCCAAACACTTCCTCTGGCATGTGAATTCTAATGGTCTCGACATATTGGCATAGGGCTAACAGAGGAGCTAGCATGTCAAGCTTTGACAGATCCTGTAACAAGAAATAAATAAAGTTTCACTACTACAAAAAAGGCCAAAGACGACGGGAATTCATCATCGTGTATTCGGTTTTCAAACCGTCGTGAAATCGACTGCCGTCTATTTGGGTTTCAAACTACGACGGCTTTTCACCGTCGTTGTTTATCTGTAAAGACGACGGTTTTTAAAGAAAATCGTCGTTGTTTAGAGGTAAAGATCATTAATTATAGGAGGAAAGACGACTGTTTTTAATAAAACCGTCGTGTATTGTACGTAAAGATGACGATTTTTTATGAAAACCGTCGTGGATTGTTTATAAAGACATCATCTTTACATACAATAGACGACCTTTTTTATAAAAAAGTGTCATCTTTATGTACAATAGACGACGGTTTTTTAAAAAGCGTCATCTTTACGTACAATAGACGACGGTTTTTTTTATAAAAAGCGTCATCTTTACGTACAATAGACGACGGTTTTTTTAAAAAGCGTCATCTTTACGCACAATAGACGACGGTTTTTTTATAAAAAGCGTCATCCTTACGCACATAGACGACGGTTTTTTTATAAAAAGCGTCATCTTTACGTACAATAGACGACGGTTTTTTATAAAAAGCGTCATCTTTACGTACAATAGACGACGGTTTTTTTATAAAAAGCGTCATCCTTACGCACAATAGACGACGGTTTTTTTATAAAAAGCGTCATCTTTACACACAATAGACGACGGTTTTTTATAAAAAGCGTCATCTTTACGTACAATAGACGACGGTTTTTTTTTATAAAAAGCGTCATCTTTACGTACAATAGACGACGGTTTTTTATAAAAAGCGTCATCTTTACGTACAATAGACGACGGTTTTTATAAAAAGCGTCATCTTTACATACAATAGACGACGGTTTTTATAAAAAGCATCATCTTTACATACAATAGACGACGGTTTTTATAAAAAAGTATCATCTTTACGTACAATAATACTTTTTGATTTCCTATGATGCTATACAACGATTTTAACTAGAAAACTAACCATAATGTTTTATCAAAAATAGTTTCTTTCATAAAACTTGAAGATTCAATAGTTATTACATAGTTAACCAATCTTTATTCTACAACAAACATAATTCCTAACAAGACCTACGTACTCCTAATCCAAGCATTCCTCATCCAAACATACAAATGATGCACAACTGAAGTCTCCTCCATCATCCCTGTAAATAAATCAAAATGACAAAGAGAGAAAAAAAGAAGCTAAGATTATAAACATAAAAATTAGGTGGAAGATAAATTTTACCATTGGTCCATATTTCCATAGAAAACTTGTAAAATGAGCATAAAAAAGACCATCGAGAACCTGCAAATTTTCAACAACAAAAAAACATACGACTCACATAGAAAACCTGCAAAAGAAAAAGTTATAAATCTGCAAGCTTCCTCCTCATCTCCTGATAACCAAATCAAAAATCTAAAAAGAAACCAAAAATTAAAAAAAAATATGTAAACAAATCAGACAAATCAAGAGAGACAAAATATGAAATTAGAGAGACAAAAACATAACAAAAACGCAAAGAGACTAATCCAGAATTCACTAGCAAGATATAGAAGGGTATTAAGAGATTAGGTGACTTTCAAATCAAACCTTTCAACCAGCTTTAATTCTCAAATACAGAACATCCCTCTACATCTTATGGATTTGCTAAGACCTCAATCTCTCAACTCCTTTATTGATATCGATTTTTTGATGATTTTGTAGAGAGTTTCATGAGGGTGTTTTAGAGAGTGCAAGAGGGTTTCAAGGAGGGAGAGATAAGGTTTTCAGAGACGGGGGAAAATCTGAAAATTTGTTGAGCGCGAATTCACTTAAGTAGACTTTTTTTAGCGTGTTTTAAAAGACGACGCTTGTTAATGAGAGATAAGATTTTCAAAGACGGGTGAAAATTTGAAATTTGTCGAACGCGAATTCACTTAAGCGGCCATTTTTTAGCGTGTTTTAAAAGACGACGCTTTTTTTTAAAAAAAATTGTCATCTTTACATATAATAGACGACGGTTTTTTTATAAAAAGCGTCATCTTTACATATAATAGACGATGGTTTTATAAAAAGCGTCATCTTTACATACAATAGACAACGGTTTTTTATAAAAAGCGTTATCTTTACAAACAATAGACGACGATTTTATAAAAAGCGTCATCTGTACACACAATAGACGATTTTTTACCGCTACACTCCTTGACCCTATATGAATACAATGACTGAATTTGATCTTCAATTTAAAATATTTACACTAGTGGATACCACAAAATCTTATGTTATATTTAACGAAAGTATAAATAAACTCTTAATTGTTAGTGAATATTTTTTTTAAAGGCATACGCATTTTAAGAAACTAGTTTCAACGATCCAACCGTCAAAATTGTTTGTTTATACTTTGAGATCATATACGCCAAAAATCGGAAAAAATAAACATTCAGAAATCAAGTAACGGGACAAAAAATTTCGACGGTTATAAATGAAAATCATCATTTAACGGTTATTTTAACTCCGATTTTGATGATTTTTTACCGCTACACTCCTTGACCCTATATGAATACAATGATTGAATTTGATCTTCAATTTAAAATATTTACACTAGTGGATACCACAAAATCTTATGTCATATTTAATGAAAGTATAAATAAACTCTTCATTGTTAGTGAATATATTGTTTTGATGGCAAACGCATTCTAAGAAACTAGTTTCAATGATCCAACCGTCAAACGTGTTTGTTTATACTTCGAGATCATATACGCCAAAAATCGGAAAAAATAAACATTCAGAGATCAAGTAACGGGACAAAAATTTTCGACGGTTATAAATGAAAATCATCATTTAACGGTTATTTTAACTCCGATTTTGATGATTTTTTACCGCTACACTCCTTGACCCTATATGAATACAATGACTGAATTTGATCTTCAATTTAAAATATTTACACTAGTACCACAAAATCTTATGTTATATTTAACAAAAGTATAAATAAACTCTTAATTGTTAGTGAATATATTGTTTTGATGGCATACGCATTCTAAGAAACTAGTTTCAACGATCCAACCGTCAAACTTGTTTGTTTATATTTCGAGATCATATACGCCAAAAATCGGAAAAAATAAACATTCAGAGATCCAGTAACGAGACAAAATATTTCAACGGTTATAAATGAAAAATCATCATTTAACGGTTATTTTAACTCCGATTTTGATGATTTTTTACCGCTACACTCCTTGACCCTATATGAATACAATGACTGAATTTGATCTTCAATTTAAAATATTTACACAAGTGGATACCACAAAATCTTATGTTATATTTACGAAAGTATAAATAAACTCTTAATTGTTAGTGAATATTTTTTTTTATGGCATACGCATTTAAGAAACTAGTTTCAACGATCCAACGGTCAAAATTGTTTGTTTATACTTCGAGATCATATACGCCAAAAATTGGAAAAAATAAACATTCAGAGATCAAGTAACGGGACAAAAAATTTCGACGGTTATAAATGAAAAATCATCATTTAACGGTTATTTTAACTCCGATTTTGATGATTTTTTACCGCTACACTCCTTGACCCTATATGAATACAATGATTGAATTTGATCTTCAATTTAAAATATTTACACTAGTGGATACCACAAAATCTTGTGTCATATTTAACGAAAGTATAAATAAACTCTTAATTGTTATGAATATATTGTTTTGATGGCAGACGCATTCTAAGAAACTAGTTTCAATGATCCAACCATCAAACGTGTTTGTTTATACTTCGAGATCATATACGCCAAAAATCGGAAAAAATAAACATTCAGAGATCAAGTAACGGGACAAAAATTTTCGACGGTTATAAATGAAAAATCATCATTGAACGGTTATTTTAACTCCGATTTTGATGATTTTTTACCGCTACACTCCTTGACCCTATATGAATACAATGATTGAATTTGATCTTCAATTTAAAATATTTACACTAGTGGATACCACAAAATCTTATGTTATATTTAACGAAAGTATAAATAAACTCTTAATTGTTAGTGAATATTTTTTTTTATGGCATACGCATTTTAAGAAGCTAGTTTCAACGATCCGACCGTCAAAACTTGTTTGTTTATACTTCGAGATCATATATGCCAAGAATCGGAAAAAATAAACATTCAGAGATCAAGTAACGAGACAAAAAATATCGACGGTTATAAATGAAAAATCATGATTTAACGGTTATTTTAACTCCGATTTTGATGATTTTTTACCGCTACACTCCTTGACCCTATATGAATACAATGATTGAATTTGATCTTCAATTTAAAATATTTACACTAGTGGATACCACAAAATCTTATGTTATATTTAACGAAAGTATAAATAAACTCTTAATTGTTAGTGAATATATTGTTTTGATGGCATACGCATTCTAAGAAACTAGTTTCAATGATCCAACCGTCAAACTTGTTTGTTTATACTTCGAGATCATATACGCCAAAAATCGGAAAAAATAAACATTCAGAGATCAAGTAACGAGACAAAACATTTCGACGGTTATAAATGAAAAATAATCATTTAACGGTTATTTTAACTCCGATTTTGATGATTTTTTACCGCTACACTCCTTGACCCTATATGAATACAATGACTGAATTTGATCTTCAATTTAAAATATTTACACTAGTGGATACCACAAAATCTTATGTTATATTTAACAAAAGTATAAATAAACTCTTAATTGTTAGTGAATATATTGTTTTGATGGCATACGCATTCTAAGAAACTAGTTTCAATGATCCAACCGTCAAACTTGTTTGTTTATACTTCGAGATCATATACGCCAAAAATCGGAAAAAATAAACATTCAGAGATCAAGTAACGAGACAAAACATTTCGACGGTTATAAATGAAAAATCATCATTTAACGGTTATTTTAACTCCGATTTTGATGATTTTTTACCGCTACACTCCTTGACCCTATATGAATACAATGACTGAATTTGATCTTCAATTTAAAATATTTACACTAGTGGATACCACAAAATCTTATGTTATATTTAACAAAAGTATAAATAAACTCTTAATTGTTAGTGAATATATTGTTTTGATGGCATACGCATTCTAAGAAACTAGTTTCAATGATCCAACCGTCAAACTTGTTTGTTTATATTTCGAGATCATATACGCCAAAAATCGGAAAAAATAAACATTTAGAGATTAAGTAACGAGACAAAAATTTCAATGGTTATAAATGAAAAATCATGAATTAAAGGTTATTTTAACTCTGATTTTGATGATTTTTTACAGCTACACTCCTTGACCCTATATGAATACAATGACTGAATTTTTTCTTCAATTTAAAATATTTACACTAGTGGATACCACAAAATCTTATGTTATATTTAACGAAAGTAAAGATAAACTCTTAATTGTTAGACGACGGTTTTTTTATAAAAAGCGTCATCTTTACATATAATAGACGACGGTTTTTTTTATAAAAAGCGTCATCTTTTCCTACAATAGACGACGGTTTTTATAAAAAGCGTCATCTTTACATACAATAGACGGCGGTTTTTATAAAAAGAGTTATCTTTACATACAATAGACGACCTTTTTTAAAAAAAAGCGTTATCTTTACATATAATAGACGACGGTTTTTATAAAAAGAGTCATCTTTACATACAATAGACGACGATATTTATAAAAAGCGCAATCTTTACATACTATAGACGACGGTTTTTATAAAAAGCGTCATCTTTACATACAATAGACGACGGTTTTTTTTAAAAAGCATCATCTTTACATACAATAGACGACGGTTTTTATAAAAAGCGTCATCTTTACATACTATAGACGATGGGTTTTATAAAAAGCGTCATTTTTACATATAATAGACGACAGTTTGTATAAAAATCGTCATCTTTACATATAATAGACGACGGTTTTATCAAAACCACCACGTCTTTACCAAAAAAATGACACTTGATTTTTAAAAGACGACTCTTGTCATACCTGCCGTCGTTGTTTTTTGGTCAAATTTTAACTCTGAAGAAAACCTTTTTAATAAGATGACGCTTTTTTATTTGTGTGCGTCGTTATAAAAAAAAATTCAACAGTACCTCTGGTTTTTAATTGTTTAAGTCACTTATCCACGATGGTTTTTTGTTACCGTCGTCTTTTTAAATACAACGACGGTTTTTTCTTCTACCGTCGTCTTTTTCTGGTCGTCTTTTTCACTTTTTGTAGTAGTGTTTGCACATGAAGTAAAATAAACGACTCCAACAAATCAACAAAACCGACGTGGTCTATAATATCAATGATGGTTTTTAAAACGTACTGACGGGGTAAAGGTTATAAACGACGATAAATACATAACAGTCGTTGTGTAAATGTTATAATGTCGCTACACAATAGAAAGGTCGTCTAGGTTAAAATAGAAGACGGGTTGTAAAATAAAAACCGACGTCTATTTAAAATTTAAAACAGAAAAAATCAAATGTCAGAGATTTTACCGTTTCATCTTGACGGTTTTCAAGAGCATCAGCATCAGCATCATTCATGGGATTGTCTTCATCCAATTCAAGGGCTCTCACATTAGAGCAGCTTGCTTTGTCAGACATTGGATCTTTTGGGCTTTGCTCTTGTGGAATTTGAGGAATTGGAGTAATTGGTGTAGTTGGAGTTTTACCGAGCAAGTTGGGATCAAAGTTGGGAATTAGTTGACTGAATTGTTTCAACAAAATTTCCCTCTCTGCTCTGACTGCCTCCGTAACACTTTCCTTTGCCCTGGCCTCCATCTTTTTAGTTTCCTCTCTCACTGCTTCCATAACATTTTCCTTCAATTTGTCAGCAAATTTTACTCTCTGCTGTCTTGGCAAATTGAAGAATTGAGTTAGGGAAACCCCAGCTCCAACACCTCTGACTCTCCCACCATGCTTAGGGGTTCCCAAAGCCAAGGTCAAGACATCGTTGCTGCCAGAGACAGTCAGAGTGCCATCAGAGATTTGTTTTTTCAAATCATCCTAAAAGTGAGAGAGAGAATGTTAGTGAGTGAACAGATAGTAAAACTGATTAAATAAATTAATTAATAAAATATTAACTGACGTGGTAAAGTGATTAAGACGACGGTTTATTTAAAAAACAGCTGCATAAAAGAATTTAATACGTCGGCCCGAAACTACCGTCGTGTTGTATACGTTAACACGTCGGTCCATGAAAAAAACCGTCGTTTATTTGACATCAAAGATTTAAAAAAAAAAACTTAACCAAAATATTCATTGATCCAGATATAGTGTACAAACCAATTGCAGAGAAATAGAGAGGGAGAGAGAGTGTGTGTGTGTGTGCGTGTGAATATGAAGAAAGTTCAAAATTTAATTTTAAAAACCTAACACAGAAACACAAAACCTTCGTTGTAATTCAATACATAAGTCAGTTTTATAAAAAAACTGACGTTATATAGTTTTTAAAAGGCAGTTAAGAAAAACCGTCGTGGGGTTTCATGTCTAACGACGGTTACCAAAAAGGTCGACGTCTGAATGAAAAATAAAACCTCTATTTTACAAGTTTTGAACAGAGTCAGTGAGACTTACAATTAATTTTGCCTTCTCTGCAATCTTTGGATCAGGGATGTTTCCTTGTTTATCTTCTCTTGCCTTCTTCCATAGCAAAGATCGATCAATTCTTCACCAGGCATGGTTTATTCCAATTCATCCTCCAAACCAACGTACGCTTTTCGATACAACCTATGGTTGTACTCACATATCTCCCTTCTCTGTGACTGCTCAGAATGCATAGCCTCAAAATCTGGGGATAACTTTGAAGCTACAAAGGCATCCCATTGCGATTTCTCTATGAAGTTATAAAGTTGAGGGGGCTCTTTTAACTTCTCCTTCTCATTTGTGAATGGAAGGATAAACTGCCTAGTTAAGGTAGACTTAAAATCCTTCCATTTTTTGGCGGCAGACGACAGCACCATCTTCTTGCCCCCTTCCCCAACAACATAAGCCATTTGAACAGCTTCCCAAATCTGCTCCTTCAGGTCCTTGGGCAGTCCATTTCTTGTCCACAATAGGGTCCTTGGTGCGTGCCAAAACACCAATGTAACACTGCATCTCAATAGCAGCTTTGCCATGTGGTCTGCCACTTTTATTGTACTCAACCACAGGCTTAATCTTTTAGATTTTCCTCTTCACAACACGGCTCATTGTGTTGATACCGTGAGTCGATTTTGTCACTTCATCCAATGTCGCAGAGCTTGGGTCTTTCTCGAAGGATGAAGTAAATCTCATCTTCTTTGCGGGATTGCTTGGAACATATTTGGATTCAACCATTTGTGCCTTTGAAACTGTAATGTCCTTGTCTTGACCTTTTGCAACTTGAGCCTCCTTACTTTGAGATTTCGAAACCATGCTTAGAAAGAAGTACAAACTGCAAGAAAAACAACGATTGTTAGGTAAAATACAGACGTAAAATGAAAGTTCAGACGACGAAAAACAAGTAGAACCATCATGCTAATCTATAGAAACGTGGATGTGCTAATACGACGTGGTCATTAACTTAAAACGACGGTAATTAAATACAACCGTCATCGTATTATAAGTTCATAAATAAAACAAAACCGCCCAGTTTTCTCTCTTTCACGTTCATTTCAAATCAGACGACGGTTTTCTCTTTCAAATGTCGTATTTATTAACACACCACGTCGGTTATTATGAACAGTCGTGCTATTGAAATAGCACGAATTTAATTACCGTTGTAGTGTATCAACAAAAACGTCAAATTCGATAAAAACCCGTCGTCCTCACACGAAAGATTTGGCCTTTTCAAACCCTAGTCTTGTTTCAAAAATCAGTGTGACTCGTTCTTTAAAAAAAAAAAACTTCAAATGATAGGGAAAGTGAAGAAAAAAAAACAGAGTGAGAAAATACATTTGGCTTGCAAAGAAAGTTTTCTTCGGAATCAAATTTTGGAGACGAAGATGAGGAAGAACATAAAAGAGAGGGAAACTGAGAATCAGAAACGCAGCTTTTCAAAATTAGAGGGAAACTGAGAGAAAACTGAAAATTTTAGAGAGAACGTAAAAGTTTAAGTCAGGTGACCAAAAAGTTTATATAGTGTCCCAAAGATAACTACAACGACGGTACTCATAAAAACCACCCTAGTATGTACCTACCACGACATTAAAATAACATCAAGCAACATGGTTAGTAAAAAATCCTTTTGACTTTTTGTATTCCGAAAACGACATGGTTAGTTGGGCGCTACACGTCAAAAGTTTATTTTTAAAGAAGTATTATAATAAGTTACCACGTCGCTTTTTTATAAGTAACCGACGTTGTTTGTCTAAACCTCGTTGCCTTTAGTTTAATGACCAACGTTGTTTGTTCTTTAATACGTCTTTCGTGTTTCAAGAACCAACGTAGATTACTCTGTTAAACGTCGTTAGGTGTAATATAACCGACGTGTATATGAAAAAAATTTATAAATTGAGGTTTTTTTCACGAGTTCTTTCATTTTTAGTTTTCAATTAGGGTTCCAACTTCTTCTTGCCCTTGGCTCTGTCTCACCTCTTAGGAGGTAATTGTTTGGATGTTGATGTGTGTGTGCGTTTGTGTATCTGAAAGACACAAACACACACACATCATCAACTTCCAAAAATTGTCTATCTGAATTCAAATCTGTGGCTGCCGTCGTCAAATTTTAGAGGCAAATTTTTGGATGTTGATGTGTGTGTGCCTTTGTGTATCTCAAAGACACAAAGATATCATCAACGTCTAAAATATTGTCTTTCTTTCACATTGGTGGTCTGATTATGATGAGGAATAGAGTTCCATCTGGCAGGATTTCGTAACTCTCGGGATCTCAGAAAATTCTGATTCTATCGGCCGTTTTCTGTATAAACCGTCATGGTTATTCTCAATTCTTGTCATTAAGATGATCTACCAACATAAGAAACCAAAATAATATAAATAAATTGAAAAAAAATACAATTAAGACGACAGTTTAGATATAAGGTGAGACGTATAAAGTGAATAAATATGACGGTAATTTTAACTTCACAACGTACCTCTTGGGATCTCAGAAAAATTTGATTCTGTCGACGGTTTTCTATATAAACCGTCGTGGTTATTCTCAATTCTTGTCATTAAATTGGTCTACTGTCGTAGAATACCAAAAAAATAGTAAAAAAATAATATTATTAAGACGATGGTTTATATGTCAGGGTAGACGTATAAAGTGAATAAATACGACGGTAAATTTAACTTCACAACGTGGTAAATTTTATTATACGGCGTTAATTGAACAAACCAATATGGTTAGAGTTAAAGATACCGTCGTAGTATGCTACAAGAAATAAGTCGATAAATTTATCTTTACCGTCGTTGTACACTTATTTAATACGACAGTTTTTTGTAATTTACAGACGTGGATTCTTTTGAAATTATACGACGCCAGATACGAAAACTTAGCCGTGTTTATTACGGAGTAAAAACGGCGGCTGTTTCTTTACACCGTCGTCTTTACTTGCTATGTCGGTGGATTCATACCTTCTGCCATTGTTTGTTGGCTCAGAGTTTACTCTGAGGAAAACCTTTTTCAATAAGACGTCACTTTTTAAATTAGGCGTGTCGTTTTTTAGGAACATTGTGGAATCTTCATTTTTTAGTTGTTTAAGTTAATCATACACAACGATTTTATAAAACCGTCGTCTTTTCAAACACAACGACGGTTTTCTGATGAACCGTCGTTTTTTTTTGTCGTTTTTTTCACTTTTTGTAGTAGTGCTAATACATTCAAACCATATTCATATTTTAGCACTTCTTACCACTATTTCTCATCAACCAGTTTCTGTTGCCATTGATGCTAGTGGTCCTGATTTCCAATTCTATTCAAGTGGTGTCTATACAGGAACTTGTGGAATGAGCCTAGACCATGGTGTTACTGCAGTTGGTTACAGCGTGAGTGATGATGGGACCAAGTATTGGTTAGTAAAGAACCCATGGGGTATAGAATGGGGTGAAGAGGGGTACATAAGAATGCAAAGAGATGTTGATGCAGCTGAAGGACTTTGTGGCATAGCGATGTCTGCCTCTTACCCCACTGCATAGTTTTAGCATCACCTTAAATAAATTCCTACAATATATACTATATAGGTATATCCAATGATATCTTTGAACTTGTAAGTGTAATTAATAGAGATCGTATCGGTGATGATGTAAACCATCCATTTCTGTTAATGAAGAATCTTCTAGTGGTTTTCTGAACTGGCAATCCATTTTTCTTGTTGGATTTGCCTGTTGGGGGCTCCCCTTAATTTAGTTTGTTGGTTCTGATTATTAAACCAACATTTTGTTAGTTAGGAGTGTATGAGAGAGGTAGGAGATCGAGAGGATATTTTTCGGAGAATAATTGGCTCAAGGATATTTTCATGATTGATGATTATTAATTTATGAAAGCTTCTTCACAACAAAATTCACAGCCCTAGTGTTTGTCGGACTCTCTACTATAACAACAGTGAGATGAATTCACAGGGGATAAAGTCGGTGGGGTTTCCTTGATCTGAGACTTGGACGCCAAGCTACTAAATAACAGCTGGAAAACTACAACTAGTGCTAGTTCAAAACGCGTTTGAAATTGAATTTGGAAACTTTTTATTTTTAACCCACAAGGATTAGGACTCTCATATTACGGAGGCTGGCAAGAAAAAAAACAAATAAAACAAAATTATAGTTGGGTAATATCAATATGAGAGAAGACATGCTAACTTAGACTGATGGGCTGTACATGCTAACTAGATTTCAATTGTCCCACTTGAGAGAAGACATGTTTAATGTCCAAATGGTTCAAAAATATTCCCCAAAAAAAACAAAAAACCTTAGAATCTCTTGGAAACCTTTATACAAATTGAACTTGTGAGGGCTTAGAGAGCGGTTTCTGGTTGTGTTCTTCATTCTTTTCACCATCTGATTCAACAGACAGAGAGAGGAGGAAGAGACAGAGAGAGCGGGAGGAGACAAAGAGAAAGGATGCTGGGGTGGGCTGCGATAGGTTAGGGTTGGTGGCTGTCGAATCGTCAAAGAGAGCGAAAGAGGGAGAGGTTGGAATGCCTTGAAAAGACGATTTTGCCCTTCAATTTCATGGAATAGTTGATAGACTTTGACTGTAGGACGATTTTGATACCAAATTAAGAGTTGAAGGACCATTGAAATGAAAATTTTAGTTAGTGGACCAACATAATACTGGAGTAATAGTTGGGGAACCATTGAAATCAATAACCCTATATATACACATTACTTGGATAGTAAGTACATAAACCACCAGTAACCATCCAATAGGAAAAGAGTTGTAGCCGGCCTATCATTTGTATATATATAAGTCATTAGCTGCACAGCAAAGGAACAAAGAAAGCGAGAGAGAAAGAGAGGTAGAGAGAAGTAGAATTGTTAAGAAAAAGAGTGGGGAGACTGAGTTTGTGGATGCGGTGGAAAATTGGGAAACACCTTACATTTCTAGCAAAAGCTTTGGTGTCAAGGTAGAAAACGTTTTCTGCGTTCGGTGGTGAGTTTAAGGAAATTTCAAAAAACGTTTTCTGAAATCATTTTCAACCTTTTAGTTATAATTCACTGAAAACGCAAAAAACATGATAAGGATATTTTCATTTTCAGAGAATAGGGATTCACTGGGAAAAAAATAGTGCATAAGCCACTATCATAACCATCATTGTCAAACACCACCCAATAGCCACTACATGCCAATTTAACCACAATCACCACAATCGACCAGCCACTTGCTAATCGCACCACCACCTAGTCAAACCCAATCAACCCTATCATCAGTATCACCTACACCAAATTGAAGTACCACCACCTATTCAGCAAACTGCCAAGGAGAGAGAGAGAGAGAGAGGAGAGGAGAGAGGAGAGAGAGAGAGAGAGAGAGAGTGAAGAGAAACGATGGGAAGGAAGAAGAAATGAGAAATGAGAAATGAGAGAAGAGGAAGAAAGAAAGGAGGAGAAAAAAGAAAAAGGAAGGGAGGATGTCGGCTGAAAGACTGCTTTTGAGATTATTTTTTTGTATTTGTTCAAAAATATTTTTATTTTGTTATGATAATTTCAGTTAAAAAATATCATAATTTATTTTATTTGTTAAATTATACAATTTTCATTGTTTATGTTGCCAGACACGTTTTCACTGTTTTTATTTTCTAAATTTGTTTTTCAATTAATCTACCAGACGCATTCTCGAATCATGAAAATGCAAATTTGTTTTCTCGTTTTCATTCTCTGAAAATATCATTTGAAAACATTCTCTAAAAACGTTACTAGATGGGCCCTAAGATTTTGGACGTCGTTTCTGTTGAAAATTCTATGTGAATATTTATTTAAATGTTCTTCACGTTTTAGTTTTAGTTTTTATTAAATTCTATAATTAATGTGTGAATCACGTCTTAATCTAAGATTACGTAAATCCGTGGATTGGGGCGTGACAAGTTGGTATCAAAGTGTTGAGGCCCAAAAAAGTCACGGGAAGCCCAAAGACATTCAAAACCTAATATAACATATAATGTTGGTCATACGTTAATTCAAGCTATATTTGGGAATTAATTTATTAAATAAATATATAAATAGTGTACATGCCATGCCAAGCCAATAATACATTTTTCCTATGCCAATCACCTACCAAGCTCACATGAACCCAAGTCATGTGGTTTAAATTTACGGGGCTTGCACGAGGGATTGTGGTGTGGAAGGTTATGGAGGTCCACAAGGCCCACTGAAGCTCTTGGATAATAGAGACTTTGGGCTAGCTACTTGGAAGTACCAAAGTCTAAGCCCATTACTTGGAGTTCTCCAATATGGGTGAGCAAATGAGATATTTTTCAAGCACTTCCTTTTACCCATATGAAATAATCATTTTTCAATGCCTATCTTTACCTGCTGGAAATAAGAATGTCCCAATGCTCCCTATTACCTGTTACAAATAGACTATTCCAACACTTCCTTTTACCCATAGGAAATAGTCATTTTCCAATGCCTAGCTTTACCTGCTGGAAATAAGAATGTCCCAATGCTCCCTTTTACCCGTTGGAAATAGACTAGTTCCAACACTTACTTTTACCTATTGGAAACCAAAGAGAGCCTTCACCTTCTATAAATTGGGAGGCGTCGCCCCGCCAAAACCAACCCCTCTTGGTTGTTGTAAGCCTATCAACAACCATGAGAACTCACATTTCTTCAGCTGCTGCAAGCATTCCAGCAGCCACTAATTTTTCTTCAGCCATCAAACCCCCCTCATTTGGCTACTACAAGCAACACAGCAGCCATCGACCAATTTTTCTTCAGCTATCAGGCCCTTCCTTTAGCTACTGGAGCAGCACAACAACTTCTTGCTTTGGCTGCTGCAAGCATCCCAGCAACCATCAACCCACTTCTTCAATCATCACACCTCTTTCCTAGTTGTTGCAAGCACCCCAGCCATAACCTCCTCTCCTTGAAACCATTCTCCCTATAAAACCACACCAAGCATAACTCCAAGCTTTTCCTTCCTCCAAATACCCTTCCAAGCTATAAACACTATGGCCTTCAAGCCTCACGATTTTCTTCCCATCCTCCTTCTCTTGAAACTCTTAAATCCATGAAGCCTCACCAAGCATAATTCCAAGCTTTTCCTTTCTTCTAAGCTATAAACACCATAGCCTTCAAACCTCAAGCTTTTCCTTCCATCCCACTTTTTTTAAACTCTTAAATCCCCGTAGTTATAGCCACAAACAACAAATTATTAACACCCAACCTCAAGCATATTCAACACCAAGCCAAGGACAAGCATTCTCATTTGCTAAACTTGTGGGTCTTTAGCTCCCACACTCCAAGCTTTCATGCCAAGCTTCACAATCTCAGTTCAACATCAGCAAGTCATCTTCAACAATCTGGAGCATGACTAAGCAATCGTCATGCTGCTGGAAATCTACTCAAGCCACCCATCATTTATCTATATCTCTCTATCTTTCTCTCTCTCTCTCTCTCTCTCTCTCTCTCTCTCTCTCTCTCTCTCTCTCTAAAAAGCTCCATCCCAAATCTAAAACACTCATCCTCTCAAGCTATGTTGAAACCATAGTCATTACCCTTTTTGGTAGAAAACGCAGACATCATGAACTATTCGTCTAGGCATCAACACCCAAAATCTCAAGCCTTAATCTTTTCCTTGTGCTCATTTTCTATTAGCTCCCACACCACAAGCTTCTCATGTCAAACCTAGTAGTATCTTGATTCACCAAAGCAAACTCTCATGCCAAGCCTGTGCAACATCAATGCACCATCTCCAACTCTTCATCTAGTTGCCAGAAACATCAGCACAAAACACGCAGCCGCTGGAAGAAGAACAGAGTACTCCCCTCGGACTTGCTTCTCCCTCAGGATACTTTGGACCTAGTTCTTGCTAACTCAGACAAAAGGGAAACGAAAGCTTCATTCATCACTTTATGGCGATCCAAGAATCAACAAGCCCAGATGAGTCTTCGAACGAAAAAGACCCCAACACAAAGCTTTAGGGATTAGATACCCTTGGGAACTGTGGTATAGTATTACTACAAAATAAGTTTGAACTAGTGAAGTGAGTTAGTGACATAACTTTTCAGGAGCATATTTCTTTTTATGATTAAGTGTAGTTTACAATAATTGTTTAGTATTGTTTTATATATATATAGGTTTAATCTGGTATAAACATTTGGTAAATGTTCAATTGTTAAGATAGCTAGAGTAGATGGGCAACATGACAATGATAAGAATGGTAGCATGGGGGTAGTACTAGCCATTTAGGATATGGCCTCTGCAATATGTGAAACGAATCAACATAACCAAGAACCCCATCAGGAAACTCAAGATGCTCAAACAGTGAGTGTTAAAGGAAAAAGATGAATGAACAAAGAGTTATAGGAAATCTGAAAGTGACCATTGCTTCTACCTATTTGGGAGGAGCAAGGAGACCAGAATAGCTCACTCAAGGACAAGTATATGCTATCGGACAAGTGGCAAAGAAAAATGAACCTACTGTGGTAGAAGGTACATTTCTAGTTTTCAATTAATGGGCTAGGATATTGTTTGACCCAGTG